CGCACAGCCACAGTGTCCAGCAGAAAATGAGAGATTTTAGCCACCAGGGCCCGAGGGCGCCCTGCGGGCTCCCAGCACCACCCTGCTCAGCTCTGTTTCTCGAAACTTGTGCCTGCCCGCCCCGTGACTGACGGCAGGACGGGGCGCACCTGGAGGCGGGGCAGCCACAGGGCTAATCAGTCACCGAGGGGCCAGGCACGGCCCGGCCGGCCGGCCTCCTAATGGAGGACTTGGCACTCTTCCCGGGGCCCCTCCGTTTGGTTCCAGGATGAGCCCCGAGGAGGCGGGGGCAGGGGGGGCAGGTGAGAGCATTGGGGGCCGTGGCCAGCTGACCGCCCGCTCGGGGCACAGCTTCATTTCCTCCCGGGCGCCCATAAAAAATCAAGCGAGAAAGAGACAGGAAATGACAAGGGGTCTCGTTTGCTGATCAAAGGCAGTGCGAGGTGGGAGGAGGCCGCCTGCCAGCGTGTTATTAGCTGCGCTCGGGCCTGTTTAACGGCCCCTCGCTCCCCCGCTTTCCATCCTGCTGACGGCGGCTCTTATCTCCCGCAGGCCCCAGACAGGATATTGCAGCCCTTATCTGAGCGCCGGGCTGAGCGTGGTCGCCAGGCAGGACCGGGTCCTGGGATGGGGGAGGCCGACCCCTGGGCCGGGCGCGAGATCCTGTCTGCGCTGATAGAACCCAGCTGGCGGGCCGCCGCCACGGGGGTGTGACAGGGAGGCACCCCGTGAAAGGCGAAACCCCGAGTTCATGGGGCAGAGAAGGGAGTCGCAGGAAAAGGTCTGAAACCCTAAACCTGGTGGTGAGAAAGGACCAGGCCCGGGGGAGGCACCCAGACCCCCCAACGCCTGCCCTTCCTCCCTGGCGCTGGGGGAAGCCGGGCCTGGGGAGGGGTGGGTGCCACCCACCACGTAAGGTGTTTATGCTTCACTTCCCAGCACCCAGAAAAGCCGGCATCAGCCGGACCTGCCGAGCTGGGCGTCCGCACCCCGCCGTCAGAGCCTCGGCACCCCGTCTTCACAGGCACCTCGGTGTCCCCGTGTCCGCCCGGGGACTGGCCTCAGCCCTCGCACGCACGCAGTGGTCCAGGCATCATCCCTGAGTGAAGGAGGGACTCGGGGCGGACGTGATGGCCACGTAAGCCCGTGCTACTTCCCGCGGCACGAACAGGACGGCTGCTTGGGAAGCCGGGGACTTGGTATTCTGCGCCTCCGGCCCCGCTGTCCTGGCCTGAGGGCATGATCAGGCCCAACTGGAAATCAGAAAATCGATGGGCACGTGCCATGAGAGCGAGACCGGCCCCGAGGCCTGGCGACAATTACTCACGGCGTCTGATGCTCGCCCGGCACTGACTGCCAGGCGCGGTCCGCCTGTTACAGGCGACTAACTCCTCTGACCCCGACACCCCTCGGGGGCTGGGGAGAGGGTGCGGGAGGGGAGCCGGGTCCGAGCGGGCCGCCTCCTCCCCTCACCCCTGCGCCAAAGCCCTGCCTCTGAGCACAGAGCGGATGCCGTGGCTCCTCCGCCCCATCTCCTCCCGGACACACCGCCCCAGTCCCGCTCCAGGCTCCTGAGTCCTGGCGGGAGGAACTTCCTGCCCGTGAGCTGCCCACGGGCTGAGAGGCCTCAGGCTCGATTCTGGTCGAGGGCACGCACCTCGGTTGCTGGCTCGATCCCGGCCCCAGGCGGGGCACGTGCAGGAGGCAGCCAATCGATGTGTCTCTCTCACATACAGGGTGTCCCAAAATTCACCCAAGATTTGAATTTTGCGTGAGCATTAACAACAACAGAAAATAAAAGCCTAATTTTACTTGGTTTATTGAATCAGATTCTAATATCTGTTGCCCTTTGATTTCAATCCCTTCAATTTGATCAGCATCACCAAGTACCAATGATGGCCCAGGAGCAGGGACAATGAAGACCAATGAAGACCACGGCTTTGCGTATGTGCCAGCAAAGCCGTGGAGGCCATTTACCCGATGTGCTATTCCATACATAACCCTATACTGTATACTTTATGAATCAATAAAACATTTACAATTTTTAATTATAAACCTGTGTTTTCTATCAAAATTACTTCTTGCATGAATTTTGGGACACCCTATAGATGTTTCTCTGTCTCTCTCTCCTCCTCTCTTCCACTCTCTCTAAAAGTCAATGAAAACATGTCCTCAGGGGAGGATTAACAAAAAACATAAAATAAACTAAAAAATAAATAAAGTAGCCCATCAGCCTGGCCGGCGTGGCTCAGTGGTTGAGTGTTGACCTAGGAACCAGGAGGTCAGGGTTCGATTCCCGGTCAGGGCACACGCCCGGGTTGTGGGCAGATCCCCAGTGAGGGGCGTGCAGGAGGCAGCCGATCCATGATTCTCTGTCATCATGGATGTTTCTCTCTCTCTCCCTCGCCCGTCCTCTCTGACATCAATAAAAGGACATTTTTTAAAGTGGCCTCTGTAGGGAGCACACCTACCTCCACGCCGTCCAGGAGGTGCCGGAACTCGGGGCAGATGAAGGCGCTGCCCGCGTAGGCCGCGTCCACGTGCAGCCACAGGTCCTCCCAGTTACCTGAAAACCAGAGCGACGTGTGAGCTGCCAGACGGAGGCCCTTCTCATGTGGGGAGCGCAGGGGGCGGGCGTGGGGCCGCGTGGGGTCTGGCCGCTGACTCGTCCCAGCCCACAGCCCATCACTTGCCGGTCTTGGGATCCTCGGAGCCCCTCCCCTCGAAGGCAGGGAAGCGGAGGGCAGGGACCTGCACGAAGGCCTGCTGTGCCTGGCACAGACCGGGGCTCAGCGCGTGCGTGGACAGTGCGGGGAGATGGACGTGATGGCCCCTGGCCTCCAGGCAGACCCTGGGCTCTATGAGAAAACCGGGGTCCCCAGGTGGGGGTTGGGTGGGGGGGAGATGGCCCGTAACACAGGCTGTCAGACCCTCCTCTGGGGAACCGAGCTCTGGGCATTGCTCTGCTAATCACTTTAAGGACTTTGCTTAGCCATGGCCAGGAGTGTCGGGAAGCGGGAAGAGACACGGGGAAGACTGCTCAAGGGCGGATGGTTCTCAGTCTGCAGGTACACGGCCCTCCCGCCGGGCGCGCCCGAGAGCGGGGAGGGGAATTCTCTGGGGGCAGCCTGGCCGTGCCCTCTTACAAATGACGTGTGCGGGACAGCACTGTGCGGGCGGCCCCCGTTCGGAGTTTGCGGAGGGAGCCCAAGCTAACGCGGTCTGGGTTGTGGCAAATACAAAGCACTTTGGCCGCGGCCGGTGTGGCTCAGTGGGTAGAGCGTCGGCCTGCGGACCAAAGGGTCCCGGGTTCGATCCCGGTCAGGGGCACGTACCTTGGTTGCAGGCTCCTCGGGCCCTGGCCCTGGTCGGAGGCAACCAATCAATGTGTCTCTCTCACATCGATGTCTCTCTCTGTCTCTCCACCCCCCACCCCCGTCCCTTCCACTCTCCCTAAAAATCCATGGGAAAATATCCTTGGGTGAGGATTCACCACAACAACATACAAAGCGTTTGCAGCCTTCCCAGCGTGAGGCAGCGCTATGCTGGGGTCCACTTTAGTGTGCAAGGCAGCGGTTCTCAACTTGTGGGTCGCGACCCCTTTGGCGGTCGAACGCCCCTTTCACAGGGGTCGCCTAAGACCATCCTGCATATCAGATATTTACATGACGATTCATAACAGTAGCAGCATGACAGTTATGAAGTAGCAACGAGAATAATGTTATGGTTGGGTCACAACCTGAGGAACTGTATTTATAGGGCCAGAAGGTGGAGAACCACTGGTGTAAGGAGATGCTGTTTGTTGTGATGTGAGTCACTCTGGAGGGAGCCTGCAGGTCTGTGGGCTCCCACGCCCACGGGGAGCCTGCGGAGGGAGGGCGGGGGGTACTCACAGAGGGGGCCCACTTCGGAGAGGCGGTCGAAGGAGCAGCAGGGCGTGGTCCCCAGGGTGGCCACCACCTGGGCGTACAAAGCAGACGACCTTTTCAGGCCCCACCTGGTCACTGCC